CCTACAGATTTACATTCATGCTTTCGAATTAAACCAACAAATGTGTAGGAGTGTCTAATTTGTTAGGGGTTAAACAGAACGATGCGAGTACCATAGAGTACCATGCTAGCACACCAAAGGAAGGCACTAACAGTGCGTTTCTACTTGTCTTCTAATGTATTTGCTTCTTACTTTAAATATTTTCTCTCTGTTCTTGTATAATATGTGCTTTCCATTTAAGTTTCCTCAAATGCTCACAATCTACTGCAAAGATTTATGCCTCACGAAGACTGAGGTATTTACTGATCCTCCACAAATTCCCAAGGCACTATAAGCATGTTAGTTATTAAGATGATGTATTAAACTTTAAGAGTCCAGTTTTCCTTTCTGGTCTGGAGCTTCAAACTCCTGCAGGGACTGTAGACAAAATTGAGGATATGATCTGACCAGTTGAATATACATCTAAGGGCACTCATTCAAGTTTCCTGCCAGATTTAGCTGAAGCAGTTGGATTATCTGTGGATCCTATTCCAACCCTCACGATGGGGAAATAAACAGTGGCAGAGCAATAACACCTAGGGCCAGGAGCAATAGCACGTTAAACTGCTGCACCTGAATCCAATAAAGATTATGATTTAGCTTTGTGACCTTGAACTGATGACAGCATCAGAGAAGGAGTTAACAGTTTGGTCCCTGTGAAGTCCCAGGCAGAGCTCATCTTTAGTGGAGCTGAAATTTCACCTTGACATTTTAGTTTTAGCAGTGATCATTTATAGAGCTCTCAACTCATGTGGTGTAAAACCGTAATAATCCCATAAGCTCTTTGGACACTAACATGGCAAGGAAGCAGCAAAGCATGCCAGGAGGTAGGACTACACTTCCGTACCCGCACTAGCAAAGAGACATAAATAAATAACAGACAATTGCCCCTCCAAAATTTTTGGAAATATAATGATTCAGGCTCTGCATTCAGTCTCAATCTTGTTGATGTATCTGAGAATAACCAGGTGCTGCTTTATAAAAGCCAGGCAGCAAGTCCTATTCACAGATGTCTCATGCACTGCTAAGTGCAGCAAGTTCCAATCACCAACAACACCAGAAGTGCTTTATTGATCTTCAGTGTTATATGGTCAGCTCTCTAAATCCCACCCTCTGTGATCATTATCTTCAAGAGCCTCTTGTCTCTACGTTGATGTTTTCATTCATCAGTGCTGCTCACAAGTATCTAATCATGCAACATCCTGCCTACAGTCACTTTACCCCTGAAACAAGTAGCTTGCACACTACCTCAAACCATACCAAATAAATGGATTAAGCACCGCAGCACAAGTCAAGATGGTGGCAAAATATACGGAACCTGTCCTTAGGCAAAGTGCCTTTCTGTGCTGCAGCATGGTGCTCACCTATCTCACCGAATCCAAAAAACATTTTTATATTTCTGAGATACATAAGGAAAAACATGGATCCTCCTCCCCTTATTCCACCTGATTCATTCTGAACTTCAGACTGAGCAAGTTATAGCCGACAACAAGCAGAAGAAAGGCCACGTCACCAACTTGCTGTGCTAAGACAACATTAATACTAGTTTTACAGTCCAAGCATACAAGATGTTGAATATCACCATACATTAAAAACAGACACCTGTTCTGTTCTGAAGCACTCAGACACATTAGAACTAATGGAACATAGATCTTGACATGAGCAGTATATGAACATATCCTGAAATAAAAATAAATCGTCTAGAAAATCTAGATAGATCTCAATATCACAATTCGGGAATACCATTTCTCCCTTGCAAATAAATACATTAGAAGGTTTGCTTTCTCACCACAGGCTTGCATTTACTGCCAAGAACTGTGTTTTTTATCTCTAAATCCTATTTCCCAAAGGAATCAATAGCCTCAGGTAATTTCCCTCATGGTCAAAGTGAAGTGCCAGTTCAATGTCTTTTTAATTCAAGGTAGTTAATGATCACTATTCATCCAGGAACATAAAGAAATAAAAAAGATACACAGTTTAGCAATGAATATGTGCCCTGAATTATGGCAGTCTCCTCTTCGGAAGAGGGTTGGCAGCATTCGCACCCGGGAGGGGTATCAGGAGGAAACCTTATACCCGCGGGGCTGCCTGCTGGGATGCTGAGGCCAGGGCTCGCCTGTTGCCTCAGCTTTCTTCCTTCCTCAGGGATCTAGGATGCTTTTCTCTCTTGGTTGGTCTGGGACTGCAGGCTGTATCGCAGATTCCCCAGCTGAAGGAATCTCTTGGATCTGTTTGTTACCATTTACCACCTAAGAGCATTAACAGAGCGGAGGTCCCTCTGTAGAACTAGTTAAGGCAGCCATACAAATTTTGCTTCATTCATTGTTTTGACCAAAGTAGCTATTTTTGGTTATAGTCTAGAAACTACTTAGGGAGCACTATCTTCCACTTTGTTTATCACCTGATATAGCCTGCAGCTCATGATTAAAGAGCTTCTAGGAGCTTTTCTGCTGTGGATTATAAGTAATCCTCCCTTTCTTCCTTTCCTTTCTTAAGAGGAACCCCCCCCTCCTTAGCCATACACTATTTCAGAACACAATCCGAGTTGTCAAAATAAATTTGCAGAAGTTGTTGTGAGAAAACATAAAATGAATTCTTGTCTCTGAATTTAGGAATCACTATAGGTCTTCCAGATTTGCTTAAACATAATCTTTGTCTTCATAGTGCCTTTCCATACTTGCCTAATCCCTTTGCACATTCTGATGTATGTCATGCAGTTTTATAATAAACACCCATATAGTGTGGCCTATTAGGTACAGAAACAGACTCTGAAAATGTGGATTTGCCACTCCATGGACGACAAAAGGAAAACGACTCATCTCTGCCTCTGTTTTTGTGATAAATCTCACTCTCAACAATACACCAAGTCATGACAGCATTAGATTTTAGTATTATGAAATCATTTCACACTTTCTCATAAAATATATGAGAAAAAAAATGTCATTAAGTTCAAAGGAAATGGACTCTAATGTAAAAACATGTCTGTGAGTCATAAAGACCTGATCTTAAGTATTGGCACCCAAGGTTCATTTCCAGCTAGTGAGTAAACATTTGAGCAATCTCACACTCCATTAAGGATAATGTTTATTTAATTACCTTCATTTATAAATCATGCGAAAAATATCTTTTTAAATTGCCTTATAGCTGATAATTAACATTTTATCAGTTACACTTATTTATGTACTTACATTCTGGCCACCATAAATCCAAATGGCTGAGAGACTACTTGGTTGTGCCTGAGTTAAATTTAGGCAACATCTTTAGGAGTCTAGCTTTGGTAATTACTGTAACACATAAACGGCAAATTAGTATTTGCTAACTAGAGCATTTAAGAGATTTCATGCATTGTGATAAGTGGTGAAGAGTTAGCTAAAATAATAATTATAATACATATATAAGGCCTTAAAACATACTTAAATCAGAGGCAGTGTCAGAATCACAGATGGCTTGAGTTTGAATGACGGTTAGGACTTCACCCCACACTGTGAACAAAAACTTGGGAAAAAACTCTTACTAGTCAACATTTCTATAAGAAATATAAAAATCACTTTTCATTGCATTGCAATAGGTACTGTAGAAAGTGACGTTCTATGTTTCTCCTACATTTTGCTGTCCTGAGGTACAGAAAAGGCTGCATAGAAGTAATACAAACGACTCAGAACATGTTTTGGTCATTCTACACCATGTACTGACTGCAGCACTCACTCTGAGCTTCAAATATTGCTTGTGAAAACCTCCACCATTGAGGTCTCCATCAACTACAGAATGAAACCAACTTTTGGAAAAAGCATGATCTATACTTGATTGAATTCAGCAAAATGATACAACAATTTAGGAAAGGGAAGGAAGAGACTGCACTTCCAAATGAAAAGCAGGGAGAACTCATAATTCTAGAATATTGATCCTAGAACTGGGATTGATTTCGTTATATCTCTCTGTGTTTGCACCAAAAGTGGGTTCTTATAACTGGTGTGCAGAGAGTCAATAGACACAAAGACCTATCTCTTTAATTTCTTTGCAGAGAGGGGTACTAGCAAAGAGCTATTTCTTTATTTAATTTCTTTGCAGAGAGGGGTACTAGATGATAATTCCACAAAGATAGCACACCTAACCCACTTTTTGGACAGCACCACCTATGTGTGATAATTCCACAAAGATAGCACACCTTATAGCCCACTTTTTGGACAGCACCACCTATGTTTGTAGGTGTGAAGGTGTGTAGGTGTAGGTAGAAGAAGACTCCACTTATTCTTGAGTTATCCTGGTAGTTCTTGTAGTTTTGTATTTCCATTCTTTTATTTCATCAAGCTTTTTCTCCTTTTCTTAATAGTATCAGGTCAAATCTGCATAAAAACACACAGCTTACTGTGGAGGGAAAAAAGACTCCACAGCTGGAACGTATAGAGTTAATGTTCCAGGTCTATACATTAAAAAGGATCATTTTCTAGTTGCTTTTAGTTATTGTTATTCTGGAGCTACTTTTAGTATGAAGAAGCAACAACTTTTTTAGTAAAACTAATTTTGAAGTTGGTCAGTGCCTTTTTAAGGGTTTGATGTTAAGAGTAGGATGTGTTACTCCAAGTCTTGGCTTAATGTAGAATGGATTCCCTTACCATTATTTTTACACTACTTAAATAACATAATAGCATTGAAACACCACTAATGGAATTATTCATTATTGAAGAATATTTCTTGATAAAACAAAGTGCAAAACTGTACATTTCTAAGCAATGATCTGATGCTTATGTAACATTACGCTACTAAAACAAGTCATCAAATGACTAATCCAAGTATATGTGCTTTGAAGATCATATTGCAATACTCTAGCATGCCTATATCTTCAAATTTCTGTCTCTTCTTTTGTATCGAGGATCACAGTTAAGTATAAATAGAAATTCTGTTTCCCTAAGGTTGGTTTCTCCCTGCAGCTTGCACAGCAGAGAACCATGTCCAGTAAATGATTTCCATTCCTGCGTATTTCTTCAGAGTGTCACTGCACTCACAGATCGCCGATGGCTCCCGTGGTTAAATTTTTTAGCATTATCTCTAGTTATTTTGCTAGCCTCTTGACCAGGAGATGCTACCTTATTGGGAACAAGGGGATAACGGCCAGAAAAAGGTCCTGCTGAGGAATCTGTAGCATCTGCCCATCTATTAAAGAAATAACTGCCTTCTTCAGGTGTCCATTTCCTGAGAGGATTCCTTTCAGTATTGGAAAGTCCCTGACCATTTACGTCCCCATGAGACACAGCTGCTGTTTCGGTATGCAAAAATGGTGATACACATAAGTGGTTGACGGTTTGATCAAGGTCATTACATGCTGGTGATGTTATGGATGCATCAGTAGTAGTTTGTTTTCTTGACCTCCACTTTTGGATTTCAAGATCTTGTTGCTCTTTAGGAAGTTGATCTAGCTGCTGAGCTTTCAGAATCAGTGATGATCCCAAAGTTCCTCGTAGAACAAAAAGAAAGTACCTGATGAAAGAAAGAAAATGTATCGTCTCAACAGTGGGTTACATCCATAATCTTTTTCACATAACGCAGAACTGGTTGCTCATTTTCCATTGCTCTGAAGAGATCTGGTAACTTGATTCCTGGATTTTAATACAGTATGCAGCTATACACTTATCTTGAATGATTTAGAGTCAAACACATATACAAAAATACTAAATAAACCACGATAATGGAAATGTTTGCTGAACAGTGCACGGAAGGTACACACAAGCTCAAATACTGCAGAGATGCAATATTCGTGGAGGTTACTTACACTCTTAAAAGAAGCTAAAGAAGGGATATTAGCTTGATGACATAAAACTGAAAAATTAAAAACCTCAGCTTGTGGATTTGCTAAAGAAGCAGCAAAATAATTTGTATCCCACTCAGGACAAAGAATTTATATAAAATATATGTGTACATGCAGTGAGAGAATACACACTGTCTCTCCCTGTCTTGTCAGTTCCTGTCTGAAAAGCAAAACCTCATTTGAAGCATGATTTCTGATAGGATTTTATTTACATATTTCAAAACAAGCATGAGAAATCTTGCTGTTAAACTCCAGTAGGTTTCTGAAGGAGACAAGGAGCAAACAGTGTTGTAAGAAGAATCTATCAGAATTTAAAGGGAAGGACTATATTTAGCAAAGGGTGATTACAACACGGCTGATATGATGATGGAGCAATGCAGACACTGGGGGCTGGATTTTCTGTAAATCAGGGGTTCTACACAAAACATTCTGGGATGTCTACAAAAAGCAACAGCAACTCTCCAGCTCTGAAATTACCAAGATACAAATCTTCAAGCTCAGTGTACTGCTGAGGCAGCACCAATCCCAGCCTTGCTGAATTCCCAAGATAGATATATGAATTCTTATTCGTATATTTGATGTAGCTCTCAGTAGAAAGCTCAGGGTCAAAACTAACACTATGAATGTGGACTGATAGGAAGACATAATCACATAAGAACCGACCAGGATGCTCTGCCTAAAAGACACGAGATCCTCGGTGAACCATGTGTTTCTTATCCTGACCAGAAGTCCATATGAGGCACCATAGGACAACACAGAATCTGATCATGCTCATCATAATGAACACTTATGTGGCATACTTGTGCTGGTAAATTTTGCAGCCTCCCAGAAGGAAAAGTTTTCCTGATGAGAAAATAAATACAGCAGGTGCATAGTGAGTCATCTGTGTTTATATAAACTAATAATAAACTAATGGTTCATGAACCGGAATATAGAACCCAGATTTCTGACTTTCAGCCCTATCCCTGTCTGTGTGCCTGACATACCTGATATCTACAGACATCATTACTCTTAGTTCACTCAGATGCCTAAAAATTAAGAGGATAACAGTACATTATTCAAACCTTGGCAAAAGTGCAATGACTGGGGTAATGAGGCACAGTAAATAGAAGGTAGGGTCCGAAAGCTGCTTCTCCATAATCCAGTAAGGGCTGTTGGGAGGGTTGCAGACCACACAGAGACCATCGTAGACCACTGAGAAGATAAAGTAACACAGCACGCTCCCAATCATCGTGGCCCAATGAAACACCGTCTGCAAGCAGAAGTGCACAACATGACAGCAGTGTATGCTAGATCCTGACTCTGGTTTTAAGACAGGAGAACATAAAGAACAAATAGAAATAACATATCTACTAAAAATTTCTACTAAAAATCACAGCAGGAGAAATACTTAGAAATAAATAAGAAAACAATAGCAGTGGATATAGTTCTTAAAAACATCTCAAATTGTTTCCTGCTCATATAACTAAAGTATGCAAAAATTGTGGACTGTCATGTCCAAAGGCACAATAGAAGCAAATGCTGCTGCTCTGCCAGAGCTCTTATCCCGAGGCTAATAATCAACTTTGCCATATTGCACTATCTCAGTGCATTTGCTACTTAATTTTGTGACCCAGAATTAAAGTGAATGAACGCGAAAGACACGCCATGTCTGCACGGAATGCTCTGTTCAGAAAAGCGTCGCACGAACAGCACACGTCAAACACGTACCCATGTTTTCATGTCTAGAGCCTGGTGCAAGAGAATAGTGAGGAGGGAGATGGTGTTGATGGGGTTCCCAAAGGAAAACACATCTATGTCAGAGCCCTTGTAGGTCTAGAGAACAGGAAGAGAGAAAAACTGTAATGATTCAGAAGTCAATGTTCCCCCCCCCACCAACGTTTTAAAGAAAATTAAAATGAGAATACAAATGATCCATGTACTTACCAAGTAGGGGACAAAGAAGCAAATGAGGCTCTGATAGAAGGCATCCAACATTGTAAAAATGAAAGTTGACAGCTTGTATATCTGTAGGAGTTTGTGGATGACAGTCATTATGATAGGATGCACAGCTCTTCTTACTACAGATATACTTGCTTTGGGTATTTCTATCACAATACAAGTCTGCAGATTCATGTACAAACACCTCTTCAGAGGCCAATTTGAAGAAAGGGCTTACCCCTTAACAGGTATACTCTCTGTGTTGACTATAGAGGGACATTAAGAAGATTAGCCAGTCAACAAAGTGTTGCCAAGTCAGACGTCATGAATCTCTGCCGCATCCCTTCCCCTAGGACCTCTTTATTCAAATTATTTTTCACACATAGCTCTTCCAGGGGCTATAGAGTTGGGCAAATTTATTGTCTTTTATGGCTTCTTCCATTAAAGAATCTACTTTGTGCCATTAAAGTATGATCATGTCATATTTAAACTTATCTTGGGACCTATGGTGACACAGATGGGCTGCAGTAGGAAGCATCAATGGCGCGACAGAAGGATAGGCCTCTTGTTTCAGTGCACGCAAAATGCCAAAACAACAACTCTCTCTTCAAAATGATAAATAATATATATGTATGTGAGGTCCAGCAGCTGCTAAGAAAAGAATGAAAAACCTTGCAGAGAATGCGCAAAGTCTGTGTTCCTGTAAACAGACTTTAAAAATATCAGGAAAGACTATGAACCACTGATGTTGCCCACTGCTAAAAAACACCATAGTCCATAAGTCCATAGAAAGACAGTGAGAGGGAATTCTTAAATACTGTGCAATTTTGTAACCTAAAACAAAGTGCATATTAAAATTTACCTGCTAACATTTTCATCATTTTCTATGAAAAATCTTAAGGCAATTTGGGAACAAGTCTTTAGGATTTTACTAAAAGTACTATTATATGCAAAAGCAGATACACGTGTCTGCATCTGTGATCCTCACACACATACAGACATCAGACTGGTTCTCTAAACTTACCAGGCAGTTTGAGGAAAAATCTCCATATAAACTCGTATGTGTATTTCTTAAGAGTTAGCAATTCTGAGAGTTAAAGTAAATAAATAAAAGAAAAAGTTCACATCCAGAATAGCCTAGACACCAATCTGACAAACGCCTTTATGTATTAAAAAGCCTCTTTCTGACCATGAGAGCAGGAAAAAATGGACTCTTGTTCACTGATCTCATGTTTTGAGTTCCCTTGTCACTCTTCTGTCACCAGTTTTTTATCAAGCTTTTCCTCCAGGACTCCCTCAGTAGGCTGAGACTGTTCAAAACACCAAATCCCAGCAGAGTTTGATCAGGGACCAGCTAAACTCTCTTACTCTCAGTTGCTATATTTCTCATCCTCTTTCATTCATCTCTCCCTATGCTCTCATTCAGATTTTTTTTGTGTGAATATAATCAGTCTGTGTACAGCTATGTATCCATCAGCTCCACCGTGTTTCTTTAGATCAACAACACTGAATGTCCCTAAAATGAAAACCTCCCAGTCCTGAGGGTTTTGTTCACAGGGCTGACATCACTCATTTACTATAACGCATCCTGCCTGTACCAAACTGGATTTTGCCATATACTTATCTGCAGAATAAACCTACTTAATTATGTCTTCCAACCATAAACAGGCTCCCAGTCTTACTCCCACAAAGCACTATTGTACCCACTCTTGTATCTCGTAATTAGTTCTTCTGACAGCTACTCTTATACTGTTTCTCTTACTGGACACCAGCAAAAGGGAAACCAATGGATAACCTGGTTTTAGGTGAGTTTGAAGCTGTTCTTTTCCTTCCCTCCCTGGAAAACAAAGTGGTCCTTTGGCTTATCAAGCAGTTCAGCAATCAAGTCATACCTCTGAATTTTTCCCATTCTTGTACAATTCCGGCAAACCTAAGAGTGTTTCTGCAGAAACATCTTTATCGAGGATTCCAAAGACAATGGGGGGCATCGAGGTGAAGATGAGATTGAAGAAGACCATTTGCCAGTAATCTATCATGGTGGCACCAGAGAACCCACAGAAAAACTGGTACCAGAAGAGCAGGTTGACGTAGCTCTGTGGGAGAAGCAAATACAAACCCAATGTCACGGCACAGCTGGCTCTGTGAGCGCTCGGAAATACTTTCTTCCCACTGACACAATTTCATTTCGCCCCAGGTGGTGAGGGTCACAGAGCTGTGCCTTTCTGCTTTGTCATCTTCCCTCGCATTGTCCCTCACTTTTAAAGCTGCTGTGGACCCTTTAAATGGCAATAACACGTGGACTGTCTGTGCCGCTCATCATTCCCTCCATGGGGTCTTTGGAGCATGTAGGTTTATAACGTTATTTCCCCAAAACACATAGTTTTGGTTACAGGTACCTGTACCGATACCGACAGGGTAGGTCTCTGCACTTTATTGTCTTAAAGCGCTGTATCCTAAGTATTTCACACCAATTCTGTGTGACACAGTTTCTTCACACCAGTTAGTTTTCTTTAAGAAAATATCAGAGAATAATTAATCAAATTGTTCATTACTCTGAACACTATATTTTAAATCCTGTTACAAGCCGGTTCTCAATATGGAATCAAAGGCCTCCTGCTCTCTAACGGTACGAGGGAGATAATAAAACAGCAGAATCCCAACTTGGAGAGCTATTTCATATCAAAAATAACTGTCCTTTGAACTTTGAAAGGATGCCCAGGCACGGGGGAAAAAAAAGTTTCTATTTCATTTTCCATTATAAATTTTAACACCAATAAGACATAATCCGTATTCAAAATTATATAAAAAATAAAATATGGACACTTTGAATTCTAAGTGAATAGCTTTTCATGCTCAGTGTATTTCATGTCAAATCGACTTGTTTGCACAGGCTTGCAGAAACTATTACTATCAGGTTTATCCACTTTACATTATTCTTCAATGCACAGCTCATTTGCATATACATTAAATTTTTAATAAAAACACCAGATACGACTGCATCATTGCTTGCAAATGGTTCCTATCGAGTTAAATGCAAAAATTCAGAGCCTTCACAGGTAATTGTTTCTCAATGCAGAATCATTCTGTATTCTAGCACTAAAAATCTGCTGTTCCTTATGCAAATCTTATTTTGAGGCTCATGGGTACTGCTAGAAAAGTTGCCTGAGCTACCATATAAAAATTACTAAATCTTGAGTCCTCTTCCCTCAGGAATAACGCTATTTCAAAAGATATTTAGATCCTGTATTTTCTTCAATGGTCTATGCAGCACATTACTAAGAATGGGAAGCGTTCCATAAAACTACAAGTGAAGAAAGAGAAATTGCAGTTTAATAAAAAGACAGCACAGCCTACAAAACATACCCCCATCCATCCTGGACTTAACCCTTTCTAGAATGAAGACTTCCAAAATCTTTATCATCTTACCACGTTCTTGTAGAAAAAGTATATCACCATCTTCGCCAGGCGAGAGTAACACCAGTGTCCATGGACCAGAAGCAGTTTTTTGAGATGCTTAAATCGTGTGATTGCAAAGTCACTAGCCATCATAGCCTTTAGTTAAAATAAAAAGGATATTACTTCAGAATGTCTTTTGCCACTCCATATAATGACGTTTGAATTTCGACGTTGAAACATGTAGCAGGAAAAACACTTCAGAAAACGACTGGGACTTTCTATCTCCATGGAACCCTCAAGCTTAGGAAAATAGGGGGAAGAATTTGGGGCAGAAAACACTGAATGAGAATCAACAGAACCTGATCTATAGCATCTACAGAGTACCAACAGAACCACCTATAGCAGAGATGATTCTGAACCAGATATTAACCTATCACTGGATAATCACCTGTTAATTTTCCAGACTTACAAACAAAGATGTTTGTCCATGCATGTTAATTATTGGTTCAAAACACTAG